TTTATGCAAAATAAATAAAAATAAAATATTATTTTTTTTAAAAGTTAGAATACATTTTTTTTTTCAATTTTGGCCTGACATTTTTCTTCATTTCGGTTTTGAAATTTTCATTTCGGTACACCTCTAATGCATACAAATACTCACACTAGAAGAATGGCACCTGCTTTACAAGAAATCCAGTGTCCAATTCCTTGTTGATATCTGCGGAACCACACTGAATAGTGGAAGCACATATCAGATGTAGAGAGGGGTCATACAAGCATCTAAATGATAATAGCTCTGTGTGTTGCATGCCTCACACAAAGCAGCTAACCAATTCTAAAGAACTTTTATTTTCCTTTTATATACTGTATTTGCTATACACTCATTGCTTTACATAATGGCATTCTTTAAAATACAGCTCACATTTCTGCATTGAAGGCAATAAGTCTCTGCCTCTCCTAATTAGGACACTGGCTTTGAACAGGCATTTTCATCATTCGCTGTTTACATGCTATATCAGCTTTTCATTTTTGTAAGTGCTTCTCTAACCATTCACAGTCATTTCTAATCTTATAATAGCTACTATCTGCTGAAACCTATATCACAAAGCATTCACCCCATATAGAAAAGCACTACAGAGTAGCATAACAGTAGAACAATGTCACCTATTTATTAATATTTCAAATGAACATCTCTGTGGTTCCTTTTATCTTTCTTCTGCCGCTCATGACAGTGTTTGTTTCAAGATGCTTTGAAGCATTACTGCTTTCCAGAAGGTCAGTATGCTTGACTGCTAGGAGAGACAAGCACATGAGTAGCTGGGTAATGCATGTTATCACGTCTAGCTATTGACTTGTAAGTAGCACTTACAATCCTTGTCCTAGGGAGGTTCAGGCTGATGACACTGGTGACCACAAAAGAGAGACTTAGACACAAAAAGTCCTCTCTCTTTTTCAGCTCTTTGTTAAAGATTTCTTAGAAACATAAAATGAATTCAAAGTGTTTTCTTCTGCCTTATGCCACTTAGCTCCAGACTCTGTTTTAGTTTCTAATGTCTTTTCAGGGCCAATATGGCATGCTATGCTATCTATAGTACTTTAAAGATACAGTTCTTTTGCAGGATTAATAGGGTTTATTCATGAACTTGCAATATGACATACATGAACCCATCTGTCCTCCCATTTGTAGACTGAATATAATCCTGGGTGCTGATCTTATTTATTCTATTTACTATGAAACAAATGCAGCAAATATGTCTATTTGTAGATGACAAAAGGTCACCATCTAAAGGCCTGTTGAATTTGAGCAGTGCACCAAGCCTATCACATTGAGTTAAGAGTAGTTCTGTAATCAGACAGTGAGGCTGGCCAAAGTGGCCAGGGCTTTGGGGTGTATTATTTCACCACCGAGGTAAGATCCTAGATATTAGACATGTGCACTGCCAAAAAATTTGTTTCGTTTCGTTTTAATACGGTGATGTAACTATAGCCATAATAGCCTATGCAGCTGCTATGGGCCCCAAGGGCGGTAGAGGGGCACCAACTGGAAGGCTGTTAAATCAAATTATATCTGAGCGCATGTAAAGAAAACACAGATCCAGTATTGTATTATTAGGGCTTGCGGAGGTTGCAGTTGACGAAAACACAGATCCAGTACGGTATCATTAGGGGTTGGAGAGGTTGCAGTTCTGCAAAATGCCACAGTTTAAAGAAGTTTATACTAGCACTAACATTATTATTATTATTATTATTATTATTACTACTACTACCACCACTGTTTTACTGACTACTAGATCACTTCTTGCAGCATTTGTGGTGATGGAAGGGGTAGGAGGGCTTAGAATTATTACCCTGAGATCTTATGCCCCGAAAAAGCTCAGCTGATGCTGAAAAAGGCTGCTGAGCTACTTAGGACAGAATAGTTAGCTGGGAAATTAAGGTCAAAGTGAATTTTCTGCACCACTGCCCCCTCCTACTCTTGAAACTTCTATCCACAGCATTAGTCCCTAGTAGTGGCATGACTATGTTGACAGCTCCCCTGCTATCTGTACTTGAGTTAGGCATACTTTATGTTAAAGTTCAACGAAAGCCTAAACAAGTATCAAATCATGTTACTATGTCATGCACAAGCCTCATAAAGAAAAAAAAACCTTCCTTTTCCTTTCCTTACTGATCCAGATCCTTCATTTGTGTCTCACATGCTCCCCTTTCAGACACTGCAGATCACAGTGGGAGGGATCCAGCAACAGATGCAGTGCTGTCCATCCAGAAAGCAGTGTGCATGACTGGATGTTTGCCAGGTGCTGATTGACAAGCTACAGGCTTATGAACCAGCAGTTACAATGTTGATAACGTCAGGCCCTACAACTTAATTTTATTGCACTGTAGTACAAGCTGGCACAGCCTATATGACAGTGACAGCTCTGCTCTAAATTCAGTAGCAGTGCAGCATTGTTGCCACGCCATCACAGGAAGCTGTATTAGGTGGACTTAACAGGCTTTACTGCTTGACTGACTTACTAAACAGGTGTTTGTGGGACTTTGCAGGGGGACTAAGATAAAACCGTAAGTGCAGATGCCCATATCTTGTGCAGATGCACCCAATTTTAATGGGAGACCTTTCTACTTCAAGATGAATGATGGTATTGCAACCCCCAGGTACTATAGAGAGCGGCTCCCAGGATGTCCCATCAAAACTTTGCTATAAGACTGCATGATCTGTAAATATGTCTCTGTAGCTGTAATATATTATATATTGTACTCACTAACTGGCACAGAGCTTGTTTTTTTTTGCTGGTACACCATTGCATATTAGGACTGCCAAAACAGAGCCTGGATACAGCCAACTCTTTGTCGTAGCTCATAAGAAGAAGAACCATAAGAAATTAGAGGAAGGCATATGTTATAAAAGACATTTAGGACAATAAGTACACATTGCTATTTATTTTTCACATAGGCGTTAGTATGAATGATACAGTGTTTCAGTTCTGCATTTTGAGTCCACTTTAAAGCAGAACAGATAAACATGTGTATGTAAACTGGTTTACCTGCCAAATCATATGCAATTCCGTTTAGCTAGTCTTGCGACTTGCACCCGTATACTTCACTGTAAAGCCAAGCAGGTGACACCACTATTCTTTTTTTTTTTTATTTACTCTTTTTCAACTTTGCAGCTTCCTGTGTCACCTGTTCACTCATCATCACACTTTTGATTCTTTGTCCAGTACGCAGACAAGTAACACTGGTAGCAGCAAAGTGTAAATAGGAAATAGTGGTACCACTTGCCTGGCCATGGAGTGTGGTGGAAGTGTGTAATCACAAGACTGGCTGCCTAGAGTTCTTCTTTAGTTCTGAATGCTTGTTCGTGCTGCCAAATAATTGTATCCTTCTCTCCATTTAGGCCAGACAGTGGCTTAGGGTCCTTTTTTTCTTTTATACATGCACAGTAAATGATTATGTAGCTTTATTATATACACATTGAATATACTTATGGGTAGATTTAGGTTTCAAGTGCTCTGGAATGAACATGTTTTCAAATGCTGAGAGCTGCTTTTGCACTTCTGTGCTGTATTGTAGATGCTTTTATCCAGATGCATTCACAACAAAATGGAAGGTAAAATACTGAAGCGCAATTTTTTTCCCCAAAAATATTTCCACTTTTCATTTCATTTCACTTTTCAAGCACAAACAACACATCAATTTATCTAAAGAAAAGTTTCATAGTAGCAGAAACTGTGTGTGTGGTTTTACAGGAGAGACTGTACAGACACACAGGCGTAATGTAACAGAGTCGATTATTATGGAACGACATTGAAATGACTCATTGAAATGGTAGGGCATTGTCTAGGTCTACTCCAGTATAGCTCTAACTGCATGTTCCACATAGACAACATTGGAAAGATCAGTTTCTGGAATTACAGACTCATTTTATCCAAACATAAAAGTGAAATGTAAAGCCCAAATTAACTTTCTCTTTAAATCAGCTACATGGAGCACAACAACAAAGGGTGTACAAAGTCTTTTAGTTGGTCTCACTGCAGAGGTCTGACATGCCCCCTGCTTAGTCAGACCTATAGTTCTGCAAAGCTTATTCTCCCTGCTGACTGAATGTTAAGTCTGACCATGGCTATCTAGTACACGCAAGGCAAAGGTGCCTGCAATTTCATGTACATGCATAGTAACTGGATGGATTTTATACAAAGTACATATGCTTATGTATGACTTATGAGGCCTTACCTGTAGAAGTCTTTGATGAGTTCTTCTTGAAATCTAGAACATAGGCTATTCAGCAGTCGTTCATGCTGTCCATACAAACATATAAAATTGGATGAAGGGAAAGGTTTAAAAGACAGGCATGTTATGGTTTCCACCATATTGTACTGATTGATGTGCAGCCGGAAGTAATCACCGTTCGCTGCCTTTCCTGTTACTAATTCTTGTCCCTAAAAAAAAGTCATAGCATGTATTGTTAATAAATTACTGTATATAAGTTTCCAGAAATACACTCTGTGTTAATATATATATATGCATTATATCTCTACTATCAAAAAGCTGAAGCCAAGTTAACATTCTAACAAAGAAAACAAAGATTTGAGATGGTGGTCAGATCACATAGACATGCATGTTTGTATCCAATGTGTTTAGCAGATAACCTCAGAATTTATCATATTTACTGCCTGAGAGAAGTGTGCTAAGAGTGTTTGATGTGGTGTGTAGTATTTCATAAGCATCTTGTCTCATCTAAGCCCTACAGAGTACCATTAGAATTGACAACGCTCTGGCTTTTCAGCTCTGTAGACCCTGGAGTTTGACCTTGAAATCTAGGTCTCAGGAAGCCAATCAATTATTATCTGCATCTTCAGTCTGTTCCAGAGTCCCCTGGTGCAATTCCACTACAGCTTCAGCAGTTACTATTCTAGAGCTTGCTGTCTGACCTCAATATACAGTATATTGGTTCAAGAACAGGTAATTCTACATTTAGACAGATCTAACAATTCTGGTGGAATCAAATTTCCTCTGCTTTTTTTTTTAACCTGCCCACTCTTAGTATTACAGTTCTAATGTGAAGGTACCTCATATTTAGCATTCTAAATGTTCAATTTCAAAAGGGACAATTGAATATATCCATCTTAAACATTGTAGTTGATCTTTCACCAGTCTAGGACACCCTATGAAGCTAAAAAGTAACAAAGGACCACTCTCAAAACACCTGAACAATGCCTGCATCCAATCAGATTGTTCAGGTATTTTGACAGCCAGTGGGGTCGACTAGCAAGATACTGAAGCTTGGCCCAGTGGGAGATTCCTCCATCCACGCAGTTGAGTGTAGATGGAGGAATCTGTTGTACTTTTTCCATCTGAGTATAGGCTGATAGAAAAAAAATCTATAGAAAATCTAGAAGTGTATGGCCAGCTTTAGTTTAAGCCCGATGGGTGAAATGTATTATAGGTGGGCACACCACAATGGGGATGATAGCGTGCCTGTGATTAAGGAATAAAAGTTTTATATTCAGTGAAGACTTGCAGTGTGGTTGTTTTCACTAGATGTAAAGCATTAGAGCAGAGACATGCTCAGTACCTGCACTTGTAACACTTTCAAGTGGGGAGCCGGCGTGATTGGAGCAGTGATTTGTTTGCTATTAACTACAGAGAGATAGCACTGTTTGCATATCGAATTCATAGAAGAAATCAGGGGCCAATCCAGACCACCAGGCTCTACTTATAATTGAAATATCACTTTTGAGGGCGTTGAACCTTTAATTGTGAATAACACTCAAATATCAGACAGTAAACAATAGTAAAATATAATTAGCAAAAAGAGTTTTAAGTGCAATCAGCAGAAAGAATAATAATGTATAAAAAAGTCCTTAATTTCTAAAAAAAAAACCTAAGGCCTTGTTAACACCAAGCGCAGAGCAGGTGCAAAGCAGATCAGTTGCAGACCGGATTTTTATAGCCATAAACGCGTCAAAAACGCATCTAAAAGAGTAGCGTGCTTGTACAGAAATCTGACAGGATCTGCTCTGCTTTTGGTGTGAACAAGGCCTAATGGGCAGTGGATGCTAGGGACAATTCACATACAGCTTACATTCCATAGCTAACATACAAGTGAGTTGCTTACTACTTGTGTGACTGTAGGATACAGCTCAGTGGTGTTACAATTAGCAAAGTTTGTCCTCTTCCTGTTTACACAACTGTTTCATTTTTGTAATATAATATTTCTTGGTACGATAGAACATTTAGAACAGAAATTACTTCAGAGCTGGTTCAACAACAAACAGCTCTGAGAACAAAACACATTATGATAGTTACCAGAGAAAAGGAACATAATGAAACTCAGTCGTGCAAAATTATTGGAGTAGCTAAGTACAGTACAGATCTTTTCTTTATTGCCAAAACAAAGAACCTTGTAGAATATGAAGTGTTTGATTTCCTCCACAATAAATTTAAAGTGAACCAAATTTTATATTGTGAGAGATGGGAATGGCATTATGGTGGGAACACAGAGATGTGGTTCTAACCACTTCATGGTCCCAAGACATTTTTAGTGATTGTACCTTTGAATCCTGATCCCAAACCTTACTGATCAACCCATACTGAACTATTTTTATATGTGTCCTGGAAGAAAGAAAGAAGAAATCTCTCATCTTTACTAGTTAGTGTGTTTTCCTTTGAAATCAAGGAGACAAGGTTGGTTTCTGAAGTAGAGAAGTCACATACAGAACATATCCGTATGGGCATAGAGTTAGTACCATATTGGTCAGCAGCGTGCAGTAGACCCTTTAGAACTTGTGATTTTAGTGAACACAAATATTAATGTTGGAGCTTGTATTTACAAAGTTTCTCTGCAATGACTCCAATGTTACCTAAAGTTTTATCAGCAAGTCCTGTGAGTTATGGACCTAACACTTGCAGAACAAACAGTGTAGCACTGAGGTCCATACATTTTATTAATATAGGTGACATGTTTATACATGCTAATCCAGTAGATACATTGACTTACATAGTTAGGATGCAGCATCTGGGCTTGTAATGGACAAGGAAGTGCAGGCTTGCTCACATGTAAATAGTGATAACCTCCAGGTAAAATTCCACCTATTAGAGCAGAAATCATTACATATAATTAAAACAAATATTGTAACCTTCTTGGAGGTAAACAATATTACAATTATAAAATGTGGGTAGCGCAAACATGAAACTTGTAGATAGCCTACCTACATAGGAGGCTGGTATACCACTTAATTTGCATGCCTAATAAATATAGAGGAATTCTGGCAAACGTGATTTATATCCACATACATATATACATACATAAATACACAATATATATATACAGCCATGGCCAAAAAGATTGGCACCCCTGCATTTCTGTCAGATAATGCACCACTTTGTGCAGAAAATTGTTGTAATTACAAATTATTATAATTATACAGGATTTATATAGCGCCAACAGTTTGCGCAGAGCTTTACAATATAAGGAAGACATTACAATTACAATACAATTCAAGACAAGATGGTAAGGAGGGCCCTGCACGTGAGAGTTTACAAATGTTTAGGCATTCTCATGTTTATTTCTTTTGTTTGTTGTGGTATGACACAAAAAAGTGGAGAAAAAAAAGCCAAGGCTGACACATTCCACCAAAACACCAAAAGAAGTTGAAAAAATAATAAAAAAATGTAAATAAATAAAAAAAATAAAAATTATAAAAACACAAAAAAACACAATTGGGCGGAGCTAGCAGTGACAGCTAGCTCCGCTCAACTTTCCTATTGGCTATCACCTGCTAGAGTCTTCTAGCAGGTCCCGGCCAATGAGCAACAACTCGGCTCACCCCGCTTTGGCTGCTGTACGGGCTTATCCACTATATATTGAGCCAAAGGGCTCCGGCGGCTGAAGAGAGCCGAGGGATCAGCTGAAGCTACGGCTGGATTCTTCAGCTCCTCTGTGAATAACCCTCTATGTGTTGGCTTTAGATATACTTTAATTACACACGCAGGAGGAGGAGTGACACTTCTTTCTCCTCTTTCCTGCCTTCTAGGTTCAGAGGGGCTATACAAAGCTTTGAGAGAGAGAGTATAAAGGCAGACAACTTCTGCTGTGCTCTCTCTTTAGAAAACCCACAATCTCAGTTTATGGTTACACCCTGTATTAAATGTTTATATTTAAAATAAATATTTTCTATACATGGAAAAACAAGCAGAAAATTTGTTTTGGTTTAACATCTTATAAACTTAAAAACAATAAACTGAACCTGTCTCAAACCCACTCAAACCCATTATAGTTACACTTTATTGCAATGTATTTTCAGAAGTTGGCTTGAAATGTTCAAGTAGGCAAATATATGTTAATGGCCACACATATGGGTATATTTCGAAACAATTTTCAAAGCCATTCAATATGCGAATCTCTGAGAACGTTCATTCTGTGCGAACAGAGACAAAAACAAATGTTCTTAGTATATGTAATGTAAAAAAAAACACATTATGGACACTAGATTGAAGCCAAGGAGCATAACAAATAAGTATTTCTTTTCTTTTCTGGTAGAATTTAGTGTAATGCCACATTATGGCCACTAGGTGAAGCTGAGGCTCATAGGACATATTTATTTCCTATGCTTCTCAACTCCATCTAGTGGCCATAATGCAGTATTACAATACATTTGAATTGAAAAGAAAATATACAAAGAACATTTGTTTTTGCCTCTTTGCACAGAACGAGCATTCTCATAGATTCGCAAGGTGAATGTCTCTGAGAAGTGTTTATAAATTCACCCCTATGTCCTATTCCACACTTTACTGTCAGTATTGGTAAAATTATCACTAATATGCCTTTCTTTAATACTTTCCTTCAATTACTACTCCAAGCCATGCATGCTATTATATGTGCTTTGGGTAATGTCTACATTAACCCCTTAATGGCTGAGGTTTTTTTTGTTTTTTTGCACCCATGTTATAATCCACATTTTAGGCCTGAAAATGACTTCAAACCCCCAAACATTATGGGGTCTATTCACTAAGCTGCCGAGGGCAGCCGAGTGAACAACCGACCCCAAGTGAAGTGACCTGAACACTGTTCGGCTATTCACTTCAGGCTTGTACGGCTGATTTCAGCCGTATATCAGCTGATATAGCATGTTCGGCCAACACGAAGTGCAGAAGGAGTTTGACTCAGCCGATCCAACATCTGGATTGGCTGAGCCGAACCTCCGGCAGGCTACTCGCTGCTGTTCGGTCTATTCTTATAGATGCCGAACAGCAGTGAGTGAATAGCAGAATGCCGCTGAGCGGCATTCGGCTCGGCTGTTCTGCTCGGTCCCTCTAGAGGGACCGAGCAGAACAGAAAAATAGTTTATAAAGTAGAAAAAAATAAATAGAAACCGATTGTGCGGAGCTAGCAATGACAGCTAGCTCCGCCCCACAGTTTTCTATTGTCCGGCGGTTCTGCTGCCGTCAGAAAAAAAGAAAAAAGAACTCTCCCGGGCGCTCTGGGAGTCTCCCGCTCCCGGCCGCCCAGGAGAGAAACACTGCTTTTCTCTTTTTTTTCTTTTTCTGACATGGAGCCGTGTCAGAGTAGAACAGTGTATCTCTCCTCGGTGGCCGGGAGAGGGAGACTCCCGGAGCGCCCAGGAGAGTTTGTTGTCTGGAGATCAGTGTCCCTGGTTAGCTGGTAACCAGGGACGCTGATCTCCCTGCAAGTGGACGGAGACAGCCGTAAGATCACCAGCTGTCAGAAGCAGGCTGTCGGCCGGCCAGCTTCGGCTTTCAGGGTGGCTCAGCCGAGCCGAGGAATATGCCTTCGGCTCGACTAAGTTCGGGAACTGTACGGGCTATTGTGAATAGCCCGTATAGCTATTGGTCCTGGGGCCGAAGCTAGCCGAAAGATCGGCCGAAGCTACGACTAGATCCTTCGGCTGCTTCGTGAATAGACCCTTATATATTTCTGAAAGCCAACACCCTGTAGAATAGAATGGTGGCAGTTGCAAATTTTGCATGATATTAGCGCTACCTATTATCAAACCCAAGAATTTAGTGAAAAATGCACCTAAGTTAAATTTAGTGCTCCAAAACACAATAAAGTACCAATTAAAAAAAATATATATAAAAGATGAGGTTACAACAAGTAAATAGGTCTCCAACATGCCCAGGTTAAAAATTGTGTACGTCTGTGAACTGGCAACAAAAAGTACTCCAAAAAGTCCATAGATGACGGTTCAAAAGCCCCTACAGGTCATCACTTTAGAGATACGCATAAGTTTTGGCCCTAAAATTATTGCTCTCACTCTGGCGTACGCGGCGATACCCAACATGTGTAGCGCGATCATCTTTTTCGTACGTAGGCGCAGCAGACGTGAGTTTACGTGAAGACGCACGTGCTCGCATCTTCACGTAATTATGTTTACTTTTTTAAATTTAATATTATTTTATTTTTTTAAACTTTACTTCATTTGCTATCACATAGGGGGGCTTCAAACCTTGTAGGTGATAGCATATTGGCAGTGACAGGTACTCTTTAAGGTGATACTTGGGGTCCGAAAGACCCCTAGTGTCACCTTTACACTCTAAATAAGCTATTGAAGTGCAGATCGCATTTCAATAGCTTATTGCTGGGCCTCAGGAGCTCAGCAATGAGAGCTATAAGACCGGAAGTGATGCAATACGCGTCACTCCCGGTCCCATAAAACGGGGAGGAGATCGGTGAATGGACGT